GAAGACGCAGAAGAGGTGTATAAACTGTATGACAGCTAATACAAAATTTAATGTTGCTAATGATGTGAATCACGAAGCCAGTGACTGGAGTTGTCCATCATATGAGTATCAAATAAAAGTATTAAGAAATAAAATTGATTATGGAGAAGGAAATGGCTGCTAGTTCTCAAGAAATGGAGGTTCTACAAGAGCTCGAGTTAATGGACAATTACCCCGGTCAAGCAAGTACAAATTGCGACATAGTGAGTACGAAAATAGACATAAAAAAGAAACTATTAAATATAATACACTTCAATATACGTAGTATAAACAAAAATTTTGATCAATTACTAATATTTTTGGAAGCTTATAAGTTGTTATCCTGTGATATTATTGTATTAAGTGAAACATGGCAAATCACAGATAATTTATATAACATTGATGGCTTTAATATGTTTTATAGTCAGGGTGATTTTAACCAGAATGATGGAATGGTTATTTTCGTAAGTACAAATTTAAACGTAGCAGATATCAAAAATACCAAATATGTTAAGTCTGGCGTTACTTTAAGTAAACTTACTCTTAGTCTAGGAAATATTAAATATAGTGTTACTTGTGTTTATAGACCACCCTCTACCGTGTTATCATTTTTTCTGGAGGACTTGGATGAATTTTTTTCGGGTAACACTGAAAATCATATTGATATACTCATAGGGGACTTGAATGTAAACATATTAGCTGAAGAAAGTATTGACACCAACAGTTACTTGTCTCTTTTGCTATCTTATGGTTTTGAATCCTGTATAAATGGCCCAACACGAGTAACAGCTATGACCAGTTCATGTATAGACCACATATTCATACGGAAAAAACAAATATTTAATTCAATCAAACACAATTCCTATATTTTAAACTCTGACATTACCGATCATTATCCAACATTTCTCTATTTTCATGGAGAGTCCACAATTGCCCAAAAAAATACATTTATCACGAAAACCATAAATAGAATTAATTATGAGAAGCTAGATGAGGTACTGAGTGGGCAGGATTGGGAAACCATAGTTGAAACAAATAATGTTGAAATCGCCACTGAGAACTTCATGGCTATCATAAAAAATTCGCTCAAAAGTTCAGAAGAGATTAAAATTGTAAGGTATAAAGAAGAAAAAAAAATAAAACCTTGGATCACTTCTGCTATTGTCACATCAATAAGGCATAGGGACAAAATGAAAAAGCAGCTTGCAAAATATTTCAACACTGATCATGAACAGAGATACAAAAAATATAGAAATTGTCTTAATAAATTAATATACAAATGTAAATGTGACTATTTCAAAAAAAAAATTGAAAGCAGTGGAAAGGATTTAAAAAAAATGTATAAAGTCATAAATGAAGCCACAAATCAAAATCCCATAAAAGATAAAAACAGTTTACAGATAAAGGACCAGGGCAATGATTTTTTAAATAATATTGACATGGCAAATTATTGCAATGATTATTTTGTGAATGTTGGAGTAAACATGCTAGAAAAAATAAAAAGCCCTGTTGATGGATTCCAGTTGCATCAAGCTTCCTTACCTAGCCCCTCAGGCTCTATGTATCTCAAACCTGTTAATAGAAATGAAATAATTGAACAAATATACTCATTAAAAAACAATTGCGCATCTGGCATTGATGCAGTGGACTCTAGATTCATTAAACGTTTTCATAATTATCTAACTACCCCTCTAGTACATATTATAAATCTAATTTTCAAATTTGGTAAAGTGCCTGCACATTTTAAAATGACTGTTGTATCACCTATATTTAAATCAGGAGAAAAAACTTTCATAAATAACTATCGTCCGATTAGTGTAATCAATAACTTCGCAAAAATATTCGAAAAATGCCTAAAAAATAGATTGGTTGAATTTTTACAAAAAAATAATATTCTTTCAAAAAGACAATTTGGCTTCACCAGTGGCTTAAGCACATCGGATGCTGTATATGAACTTACAAGATCATTAACACACAACCTTGATAACAACAAAAAGTGTCTTGCTGTATTCTTAGACCTCGCGAAGGCATTTGACACGGTTCCCCATGCCTCCCTCTTGAATGTTTTAAACATGTATGGAGTGAGGGGAGCTGTGCTGGATGTCTTTGTGAGCTATCTAACGAATAGAGAACAAGTTGTGAAAATTGGCACGACTCACAGCAATCCTTTAAATGTAAAGATAGGAATTCCACAGGGAACAGTACTTGGTCCAATTCTCTTTATTGCCTATATAGATTCTCTGACGAATTTATTCATAGAAAACGGTTCGTTGATATCATACGCTGACGATACTGTTGTGATTTTTTCGGGAGATACTTGGGCCCAAACCAGGGATTTGGCAACACAAGGTTTATTAAGGGTGAAACACTGGTTGGACTCCTTTAAACTCACTTTAAATGTAGATAAGACTCATTACATAGCTTTCTCCATAACTGCTGCAAATCGCCCCGAGTTTAATTCTATCAACCTTGAAGCCCTAACCATTAAAGAAGTACCTTTTACTAAATATTTAGGAATAACTATTGACAAACATTTGAAGTGGGACCAACACGTTTTGAAACTGACCTCTAACATTCGAAAATTAATACATAAATTTTATTTATTGAGAGACATTCTCAGCAAAAACCTTTTAATTAATGTCTACAAATCCTTGGTCGAGTCTTTAATAAGGTATGGCATAATCGTGTGGGGTGGTTTATACAGAAGCTCTCTGAAGCAGCTAAACGTAGTGCAGAATTATATATTGAAGGTTATATATAGGAAAAAAAAGAGGTTTTCAACTGAATTATTGTATTCTGATGAAATATTTGATGTTCGCTCCTTGTATATCTTGTTTTCATGTATTTATGTTCATAAATCTTCAGATCTAAAAAAAATTATAAATCATTCCTATGAAACCAGAAATAGAATGAATGGGCATTTAGTTTTGCCAAATGTAAATAAAAATATAAGTCATAGGTATATTGGTTATCTGGCGCCAAAGTTCTATAATCTGATCCCAGGTGAGATAAGGCAGATATCGAGCATTGGGCGATTTAGCAAATGTTGCAGAAGATTCATTTATGAGAATGCTCCTCGATTTGGATGGTTCAGGTGATTGTTGGTTGTTGGTGTTAGAAAAAATTAAAAAGAAATATATATGGAATATATATAAAAAAAAAAAAAAAAAGATGGAAATATGTATGTTATTACTACAAGTTGATTTGTTTGGTTGTTGAACTGTTTTAGTTTTTAGTATAGTTTAAGTTAGATTAAGTATGGTATCAAAACTATTTTTCATAGGTACTATATTTTCATTTTACATTTTTACATCCAGTGTGTTTTTCTTTGAGAATTACCGTATGATTCTATGGGCACATACAGCTAATAATTTGGCTAGGTGCACAATTAAAAAAAAAGAAATGATTAGCTATATAAGGAATTATTGTGATATATTATAAAACTGTAAATTTCACTCCATAATATTGCTTAAATATATTATTATTATTATTATTATTATTATATCATTTCTAGAGAAAAACTGACTACGCCACGCGACTCTATCAAAGCATGATAAACCCTCTTTCCAAAAGCGAATCCGAGTTCTTTATCTGTTGTTTTCACTGCATAACATCCAGACGCAATTCTTTTACTTAATATACTGATATGATCCTCAAATTTCAAGCCAGACTCGATTGTCAAGCCCAAGAATTTGCTGTGATTACGCTAGGGTTGACAATATATAGGGTCTCATTTGAAAAAACGTATGTTTGGTTCATAATTTGAAAAATATCACTTCTAGAGAGAAATTGACTACGCCACTGGAAATTACGTAAAAATATCTATAATAAACCGTTGACACCTTTTCGATTACTTATGAGGGGACCGAGATACAAGGGGTGTCCCAAAATGCAACTTTTTCGAAAACACCTTGTATCTGAAAAACAAAAAGAGCCATGACAATTCTGTTGGCGCCATCTTTCGTTTGACAAAAAAGTAACCAACGTTCGCGGAAACCGCATCCTCCTAACTCCAATAGCACCCGAGTTATCCCTAATGGACAACCAAAATGGGACACACTGTACATGCTATTTCAAGTTTTACTAGTTTAATATTATTTTTTTAGTACTAACCTGAGAAATAGTCATTATTCAATCTATTTTTCTAGGAAAAAATTGCATTTCTCTCCCTAGGTGAATAATGAAAATAATAAAAAAATACCTAGGGCAATAATGAAAATGACGTCATAACGCAAGGATGTTATGTTTCTATTGGTTTAATTTTAATTTCTTAATTTCATACGTCAATTAAAAAAAAACAAAACAGGTTTCTGTAGGTACATCGAAAGTTACCATAAGCTGTTGATAGAGGGCAGCACTTTCAAGAAGACGTTTAAAAAAAATAAATTGAGCAAAGATTTCAGATCAATTTTTCATTTTCTAGTAGTGGTAGTAAAAAAAATTCTATCCTCGGTAGAGAAAGCCATTATATACCTTACGCATTATAAACCTCGGCGCTTCGCGCCGACGCGCCTCGGTTTATAAAAGCGCTTGGTATATAATGACCAGCTTCTCTACCTAGGTATATAATATACTATTTTTGGAGAACCAGAAACTTTTATAAGGAATAACTTTTTTTTTTGTAAAATTGATAATAAAAAAGTTTCCCATATGCTGCGAACTTAAGTGGACACACTGTATATGTTTGTCTCTTTTTAGTGTCGTTTTTTCGTTTCATCGACTCTCAAATCACTTCTAACAATTCTAAAAAAGTTTTCACTTCAATAACTAATTTCAATTAGTGCTCCGTAGAATTTAAGTACTCAGGAACATCTGTGTTCTTTTTTTCACATGATTTGAAAACTGCTCTTCTGGAATCTATTTGTACACATCTTATATAGGGTAGTAAAGTTTTACAAATTAGCAGAGTCTGTCATACAAAGGTTTGGCTGTTAAAGGTTCAATGCAAAAATATCTGCATTAGGAAAAAAAAATTCACTTACTTGCATAATGGGGTACATTTGGAGCAGTATGAAAAAGTCTATGAATCCCATGCCCACAATAACTTTTAACTACAGAATATCCATGTGCCTGAGCATGTTTTTGTATAACATTTCCAATCTCTCTATACTTTTCACCAGGCTTCACGATTTCTATTGCTTTTTGTAGGCAGTCATATGTTACTTTGACTAGATCCTTAACTTTATCGTTAACATTTCCCACAAAAAACGTTTCATTCAGATCTCCATGGAAGCCCCGGTGATAAACAGTGACGTCTACGTTGCAAATATCACCGTCCTCCAAGGGACGACTATCAGGTATTCCGTGGCAAATAACTTCATTAACTGAAGTACAACAAGAGGCTGGGAATTCGTAGTAATTTAGAGGAGAAGGATAACATTCTCGCTCAATGCAAGCTTCATGAACGATTCTGTCTATTTCGTCTGTAGTGACTCCCACATCACATACTCTGGCAGCTTCATCTAGTACTTCCCTTCCCAATTTGCATGCCACTTTCATGCCTATAAAAATAAAAGTTTTGTATTGTAAAATATAACTTCATCACTATATGATGTTTTTACCTTCTATTTCCTCATCATCCAAGACTTTAATGTGTCCAGATCCTTTGACAGCCTGTTCACTTAGAGGGAACCCTTGAGGATGATCTGCATAATCTGGTCTACCAATACCGGCAGGTACAGTACGTTTTGGGGTTTGTGGAAAAGGCTTCAGTTTTCCAGTGAAATTATAGTAAGGCCATGGGCAATATTCGTTGCTTTTTTCATTGCCTTCTCCTTCTATAAAAATATTGTGGGTAATTTTTTGCTATAATATGAATTAGGAAAATTTAGACTGCATAATCAATCTGTGGGGAAAGAGATTTAAATATTTGTAGATGTAAAATAATGAAGTTTTATACAAACAGGCATACTCTGCTTTCTTTAAAACACATTATTAGAACAAAACAGTTGGAGAGTTTATAATTAGGGATTTGAGAGTATTTTATTTTAACTGCACAGTGAGACTTAAATGTGAATCTTTTAGGTTTTATAGAGCGTTCAATCTCAGAATTTGATTATTTGAATTGCGTGAAATATGTTTATTGCTGTCTTGCAAGCTCAGTTGTAGAGTATATCCACGTATATCAGTAGGTACTGTCCAGTGGCTCTACTTACATGTCATAATAACATCAGAAGAATGCAGAAGCAATTTCTCATGCAGTTTTTAAATGAGGCATTTTATGAGAGGATGTAAATTATAAGCAAATTTTCACTGTGTTGGACCTTCCCACATTCGAAATATCTAGAAAGAAGAATTTTATCAATACAGTCTTTCTTTTCAAGTTGATTAATGGTACAGTGGACTCTTCAGAATTATTACTGAAGATACATTTTCATGTACATACATAACCGAGAAACACTGGATCTCAGGATATGTACTCAAAAAATTATCATAGAACAAATTATTAATAGACTATGATGAGAACAAAATTGGTAAAATGACAAAACCCTACCTAAATATCCTACCAGTTTTTGAAAATAATAGCTCCACATACTTGAAATTCAATTATTTATGTGAAATTCGAGTTAAAATTTAACTAGAAAATGCAAACAGGGATAGAATGTTCAAATTTTCATAAATTTCCGAGTAATTTCATACCTACCTAACCTTACAAGAGCATGAATGACTTTATGACTTTTCCAATTTGATTTGAAACATTCTTGAGAGCAAAAAAACGATCCCGGGATTCCCAGTTTGATGCACGTGGGACACTGCAACTTGGCCCCTTTTTCACATCCGGCAGTTTCACATTCTCGATCCAAAGTTTCCATTTTTCCTGAATTTGAAAAATTCCAAAAAATGTATGCGGAGCTTTGAAGTTTGGCAAACAACGAGAAAGAAAAAAATAAAAGAAATATGAGAACGAATGAAGTGAAGTGAAGCAATTTAGGAACGCGCTTGACGGTTCCTCACCGAACCGACCGATCCTTGCACCGACAGTCCGGGCATGGCTTATGGCGTTTTAACCTGCATGGAGTAACTAAAATACGTTCTCGTTCCACTATACAGAGTCAAGTGAATGAAACGCACTCCAAAAGTTCCAACTCGAGAGAATTTTTTTTTTTGTAGAGTAACTGGAGTAGAGTTTGTCAAAGTTAAGTTGTTTAGACGTCAGCTGCAGACCACAACTCTTGGCATAAAATGTATTATCCGAGTTTAAATACTATAATAGGTCAAAAAACGAATTCCTAAAAGATAAAAATTTAAATACCGAGCACAGCCTGAATCGCAAGCAATCCATTGAGGTCTGCAGGTGACGTCACCACTATTTGCTGGTGATAGTGGTGACGTCACTCGCAGATTTTGCTGCAGACTTGAGAACTAGGAAACGTACGCCTTTCCTTGCGTTCCGTATTTTGCTCAAAGAGCAGAGCGTGCTGAAGCGCAGTAATCACGAACGGTAAATGCAAGCTCGGAGAACTCAGATAATACCGAACGCAAGGTTATTAGGTGGGGCAATCCTATTTGGTTGAGTGTTCTGGGTCCTAAGGCCCTGTTGCACCATATTGGTTCAAAACAGAGTCCAGCTAAACTCGACTGGTACTTAAACATTTGAAATGCATTGCTGTCAAAATTGATAGAATTTGATTAATAACCGACAGCAATGTATTTTAAATGGGAAAGCTTAAGTACCAGTCGAGTTCAATTGAACTTTGTTTTGGACCGAGATTGTACTACTGGGCCTAAACGTCTTACTTAAGCCGCGGAGTCTCATGCATCCGTTTTCCGACGATAGATGTCCGAAAAATAACCTTCTATTCTGACATAATCGTATAAAAATATGTCAAAATAGAACGTTTTTCGGACATCTTTCGTCGGAACACGGATGCATGACTTGCATGAGACTCCGGCCTTAACTTTTGACACAGTTTTGAGATACAGGGTGATAGATTTCAAATAAAAATCATTTATCATTTTTATCCTTACTAACTACATTTTAGATATTCAAATAAAATTTGGTATACATACATGTATGTACTTATACAATAAAGTCTATCTAAAAACTATCAACAGGCATTTTTTAATGTAACGCATTTTCTCAAATTTCTACCAGTGGCGTTCGTACAGATTTTGACCTGCCTATTTTGGCAGACATTGAGAATACCCAACTGGTTTCTATTAAAATAAAAATTATTCTTGAAATCTCCAAATCATTCGGTACAATTCAGGCGGTGCCAGCGGCTAAGCCACCCAGCAGTCCCAGTCCCAGCACTGAGCAGGGACTTTATTCTCGAAACCGAGGAACAGCGTTCTCATGAGAACGATTGCTCTGTCATTGTCAGTATTATGGAAATATGAATACGGACGACGAAGACAGAACCTTTGTTTTCATAAGAACGCCCTGGAGTATGATTTTCGAAACCATTCGAGTACATTTCGTATACGAAATTTGAGATAATTTCGAATGCCCCCCATTTAATTTACATTGCTGTCAGTCAAATTTCGTGTACGAAATGTACTCGAATGGTTTCGAAAATCGCACCCCTGTTTCGAGAATAAAGTTCCTCTGCTGAGTGGCTGAACTTAGCTACAGTGGCTAAATAAACCTTTACATACAGTGGCGACAATAGAGTTCCCGCCTCCATCTTGTTCCCAACCTCTTGTTACTTTCAAATATTAATATATAAGATTTAAATAGACATCTATCATAAAAAATTAAAATCGGCATATTTGATGACCATTATTAGGTTCATCAAATACGTTGTTTTCCATGTTTTATGATGGATGTTCACCTAAATCCTATATATTCATATTTAAAAGTAACAAGAGGTTGGGAACAAGATGGCGGCATTTTCAATATAAACATATGGGATTTTTGAACCAATCAAAAATGAGACCGCAATTGTCGCCACTGTGGTAATAAAGTCACTGTAAACTTAGCCGCTGGCACCGCCTGGAGTGCGTTCACAGTCGAACGCCGGACGCTCACCGAGTGCACACCGAGCGCGTCTTTTGCAGGGTTAAGTCGTTCACGGATCTACCTAATTCACCCGGTTAAAATATTTGCTCCGTTCACAGAGCCATGATAAGTTTACCCGGTTGTACAACTTTTTAACCCACTCTGAGACATGGGTAAAATTTGTCGCGCAGGCGTTTTACAAGAATATTTGAAATTTGATAAACAATACGAGGCTGTGACAATACTGTTGGTAATCTTTCTGGGCCATGCATTGCTGACTTCAACTGGTTTTCAAGTTTTCCAAGAAGCCAGTTGAAAGCTTCTCTGGAAACTCTAAAATTTTCCTGAAACTCCTTATCGCTATAATTGCGTATTGTTGCCATAAAATTATCCTGTCTTTAAATATGCCTTTTTTCAGGCTTGAACATAAACTGCTAGCGCTAGCACATGCAGCTTGTGCTACAGCATAGCTGACTTCTTCCTCTGTATCAGACGAATCCGAAGAAGTTTCAATAGTACTTTTAAAAAATATTATTCCCGGATCCATCTCGAAACATTTGAAACACAACGTATGTAAACAAAAGGAAAACAAAATCAAATCCTACCTCGTTATGGCGCAGGCGTTAGTCGTTCACGGATTTGTCATCCCAAGCGCATCCTTTTCAAACAGTGAAATATTTAACCTGGTTAAGTTTTACCCAGGGAAAACCACTGTGAACGCGCCCCTGAATGTACCCAATGTCACTTGATTTTTCACAATCCAACGCACGGGAAAGTGATTTGGAAACCGTTCAAGGGACAGTTTGTCGTGTTGGAACAAAACCTCGCAAACACGTATTATACTGGGTGTCTGGAATAACTTGAAGTACAATGGGAATTTTGGAAACCATTGAAGATACAGAGAGTGGACCAAATGGGGAGAAAGTTGCGCAATCGAGTGGCTTCGAACAATATGTCATCAACATCTTTGAACTTAGAATAGCAACGGATATACAGGGCAAAAACTGAAGAAACTGCATTTTATAAAATTCTATCTTGTTCATTATCAAAGATACAATCAAGAAGTTCAAAGAAGTTGATAACACATTATTAGTAGGCACTTGATTGCGCAACTTTTTCTCCATTTGGTAAACCGTTCTCCAAATGGTTTCCAAATTCCCCATGTACTTCAAGTTATTCCGGGCACCCTGTATTTAAATTACGCTCAAAGATAAAAAAAATCATTACACCCCTGACATTCACTTCAAATATAATGTAATGACTGTTCCTCTCTGTCTCTCGGATCGACTGTACCCAAATGAGCGTAACCGAAATTCCATTTCTGACGAATGGGTTGATCCATCATCTATCTTATTCGCGAACGACGTAGTGAACAGAACAGAATAAAGGTGCAATTTATACTTGCAAAAATGGAGACCGTTTGCAAAACATGTTTGGTTTTAAGACAAATTCAACCTAGCGTTCCGCGCCGGCGAGGCTTCTTCACAACATGAAACCATGACGTCGTGGTCGTTTATTCTGTTCACTACGTCGTTCGCGAACAAGATGGATCAACCCTTTCGTCAGAAATATAACTTGGGTTTAAACGGCGCCGGCGAGCGTGCGTGCTCAAGTCTAAACGCACCTTGCCCAGCATGACGACTCAGTTTCATACCCACAAAAAAGTGTGCTGAACGCGAGTTTCCACTTCAAAAAAGTGAACGTGTGAAAAATATTTAGAAAATACCCAAAATACGTATTAAAAGATAAAATTGTGGGGTCGTTCGCGTGCAAGGATATTACACACTACACAGGATACCCTATCCTCATAAGGATAGCGTAGTTCAAATCCCAACCCTGAAAAAGTACCAGTGATAGCGTTTTTCACCTTGACGTCGTAGGTAGGGTGTTTGCACTACAGGCTATCAAGGTGTTCATTTGTATTGTCTGCCCAGCGGTTCTGAGTCTACGGAAGGAATTCGGACGTAAATGTGCGACGTTGCCACGTTTAATTATAAAAAAGCAAAAATACTAGGTATGAAGTATAGTTCATGTGAAAATCCATTTTTTAATTACAAAATATGGATAACAATAATGAAACGCTAAAGATTCTAACGTGGTTGCTAGATCTATTATTATTTTAATAACTGATTTCTTCAATTTTGTCTAATATAAAAAATGAACATTTTCCAAAGATACTATCAGCTTTTGTCAATTTGGCAAGCATCCAGCCTGGATGAACCTGATTCGTAGAGTTTTTGGCAGAATCGCCGTTGCCACGGAGAACCATGCGGTTGTCAGTGGGCTAACGTCACCTTACGTCTCGCTATTGGCCAGGGCTCCTGTCATTGTATCCTCCCAATTTGGAATATCGATTTATATTGAAATATCCAGTGGCGGGGATTTGGTCATTGTCAATTTTCGTGTACGAGTTGCAATACAATATTATATTTCCAAAAAGTTCCGCACGCAGCTGGGTATTTTATGAATGAAATCAGCCATTATTTTTTACAACTGCATTCCCCTTACCGTTGCCCCGTAGATACAGAGTCGCTGGGCAGACATTACTGCTGTTTACCGTGCGTTCGGTATTTTTATCTGAGTTCTCCGAGCATAAATTTACCGTTCGTTTATTTAAAAAGTGTACTAGGTGCAGAGCGCTCGCTGATCACGTAATTACGGCTCCGCTCTGCATGCTCTGCTCTGCATGCTCCGCTCTGCATGCTCTGCTCTTTGAACAAAATACCGAACGCAAGGTTAGAGGTTAGTGTTCTTGTTTCCAGCAGATCGGCGTTCATTTGTCCCAAGAGCTGATATACATACATATAAGCTTGTGAATAGCAGCTGCTAGCAGATCTTCCAGGTTTTTCGAGCAGGTAGAGCAAATACAAATGAGCACCCAACACCCTATATGAATCCGCTGAGTTTTGCTTTATGAATACTGGGCTGTAATATATAAGTCTGTTTCTGCGAGAATCACAAACCGGTTCAGAGCGAATTTCATTGGTTGAAAACGTAGTTAAACAGTCAGAAAACTAGTTTCAACCAATGAAATTTACTCTGACTGGTTTGTTATTTCTGCAGAAACAGACCTATTAATTAACATTTAAAACAACCATTTTTTTATATCTCGTTCGCATTTTCCTCTTCACCCATTATAGTCCAGAGCCGGCAATACTCACGGGTATGTGTCTATGTGATCGTTGCAATGGATAATTTCTACATAAAACAAAAGTTCATAGTAACCTTTAAACCAAATGGATGGGTTGCCTTGATTCTCATGGCCGTGAAGTTGTTTTATAAAAAGATACTTCAAGAACCATACGCGCAACAAATAAGAAGTACCTTGCGGTGTAGGGGGTTCTCATCATATGTGGCAAACACTTTATTAACACAATTTCATGTTTCTTTTTTTGTCTAAAGACCTACAGCTGTATGCAAAATCCTCTTCACAGAGTCCTCTCTTAACTTTAAAAGTAATTTTGAAAGCTGTTACTTTCAAAATTTTGTATTTAGCAAGCAAAACTGAAGCAAAATAACGCGCGCGCTCGACTTTCAATGAGGGTTGCCATCATTTCCGGCCATCAAAATCGAGGCCACCCTATATATTATTTGAGAAGACATATTAACGAATATATCTACCAATTTTCAGCTATTGCAACGATATCGTAGAGGTAGTTTACGCCCAGCCATCAAAGGGTTGCGGCCATGAGAATCGAGACCACCCATCCATTTGGTTTAAAGGTAACTATGAGCTATTCTTTTATGTGAAAGTTATCCATTGCAACGATCACATACCCGTTAATATTGCCGGCTCTCCTACTATTATGTTAATCAAAATTAAAATGTAGGATAAGTGGACGCCAATCTGTTGGGATCTGTTTGAGCCAAGAAAAGCAGAACAAATGAACACCCGAACCTTTTCTACATTATCGACGAAAAAATTAACTCACTAGCACAGCCTGAATCGCAAGAATTCCATCGAGGTCTGCAGGTGACGTCATCACTATAAGCTGCTGATAGTGGCGTCACTCGCAGTCCCAGAATTTGATGGAGGGAACAATCATATTTTTCAAAGTATTTTTTTTCTTATTGCTTATGTTTTCGAATATAAAACGTATATGTTTTTTTTTGTTCTATGGCCTCATTAAAATAAAAAAATTATTTTAAATTTCAAATTATTTTCGTTGGCGCGAAAACGATTAGCTTCAAGATGGTGGAACTTGTGACGTCAACTGTCTGTAAACACAACGTTATGGTCTGTTCTCACAAGAGCCTTTGACTCTTTGCAAACTGTTAAAAAGAATCGCTTAGCTCGAACCTTCGACTGCATTGAAAGCGGTTTATGTGGTGTTTCCGTATGTGTCATGTGACATTTTGTGTTTCAAATAGTTCATCATGGTTGATACAGGATTTAGAAAAGCGCAGTCTGACAATCTTCCCTCTATAGACCCGTTTATGATGGTTCAATATCAGTCGTGGCGTGACGTGAGCTTATCGTGGACCAATCGTTCCACGACTCAAGAGTGAACCACGAAAGTGTGGACCGTGGATTTACGATCAGTGTAAACTACCCTTAACCTTAGTTCACGAACAGTTGACGTCACTGGAAGCGGCCATGTCAAACGTAACTTTTTCGCGCGAAACTTTTCGAAACTAATAATTGCCGTATGACTATAATATCCATAAATCTAATACAAAACTGCTCATATTCAATATTTTACAGAAAAATGTGCACCATGAAAACAAAATAAGCCATATTTATTTCTCATGAGAATTCCCTATTGACACATCACATAACCCAGCATAATCAGATTATGCTTTAGGGCCAAATTATGGACCAACTGGTAAGTGTCTGGTTGTTACCTAGCAGGGTAAGAAAGTACCTGCTAGGTAACAACCAGACGTCTACCAGTCAGTCCATAGTTTTGCCCTAAAACGGGTGTATGTCATACCTGAACCAATGACCGTCAATGACGACGTTTACGTTGTCAGTTGTGCGTCGCTTACTATCCTAACAAACCGTACCTTAAGGCTGTTAATTTGTACTTGCTCTACCTGCTCGGAAATTAGAAAGATCTGCTAGGAGTTGCTATTTATGAGCTTCTAATATATGGAACAAGTGAACGCCAATCTGCTGAGATCTGCTTGAAGCAAGAAAAGCAGTACAAATATACACCCTACTTGATTATCCTCGCGAAAAATGGCCTATTGTCCTTGCGTTCGGTATTTTGCTCAAAGAGCACAACCAGAAAGTGCTCAAGCGGAGCAATAATCACGTGACCACCGAGCGCGCAGAGCAGTTAAACGTAGAGTGCGTTCGAAATCGCCCTAGGCGTGACACCGAGTGCACACCAGCCATAAATTATTCATGGCTGGTGAGCACCCGGTGTGACACTCAGGGTGATTTCGAACGCACTCCTGTATCATAATAGTCTTTATTTTTAATAAACGAACGCGAATGAGCCTGCACCGAGCACACTTTTTCAATAAGCGAACGATAAGTTCGAGCTCGGGAAACTCAGATCATAATACCGAACGCATGGTTTGTATAAAATGTAGGGTGGGTTCCGTTGTCTAACCTGGTTAACCGGTCGGTACCTTGGGTCGGTACAATGTCAGTTGACAGCGGTTGACAACGATTGACAAGTGGTTGCTGAAAAATTCGGTTCCATACGGAACGCGTTTTCATCGCAGAATCGCCGCCGGTTGCTTTGGTGACATGTTTGACATAACTAACCACGTTCCGTATGGAGCGGTTCTTCAGGAACCAGACATTACGGAACGTGTACAGTGGGAACGTGTAACCGTAACCAAGGTTGGCAACGGAACCCACCCGTAGTTACCTTGAAATGACATTTCTGAACACGCCCTAAAATCTCATAGCCCCAGCTCTAAGCCGCATTCTTTCGCAAAATATTTGAATCATGATTCCGAGATCCTGATCCGTTCGTTCAGATGGAACATGTTTCATTTATTAGTCTGAAAAAACGCTGTCACTGATGTGTCACTGCCAGCTGGTGCTTTTCCTCTATTCTCTATTTTTTGAGTTGGTTATTATTATATTTTGCAGTTTTTTGATTTGCTACGTTTGTTTTTCTGTGCCTATAATAATGGACGAGCTTACAAAATTTATATTATATATTATTGCAGAAAGCGCAAAAAGTAAACAAGAAATAATTTGAAAGTTGAGGTTAGATTTTCGCGATCGGAACAAACTAATCACAAACAAAAAATGTTCAATATGTTCAGACTTTCTCGGATCATGATTCGTTAACTGTCATTTGCCAAAATGCGAAAGAACGTGATCACTGGAACATAACGCGTTTTGATCAACTGATCCGGTCCGAAAGAATGCGGCTCTAGTTGCTTATGTTCCGATATCAACTGTCAGTACTAAATTTACTGGACGCCGGACGCCGTTCCGATATTATTTTCAGTACACTGGATTCAGAAGATTCAGTACTGAATGGCCACAAGAGTATACCTGTTGAAATCGGAACGGCAAACGACAGTAAAATCAGCACCAAAAATCCAGTACTGGCAGTTGATATCGGAACATAGCCCTTGTCTGTCGATGTCAGCCGTCACTGCTATTGGAACTGGAACCAAAAAAAAAAAAAAAAAAATAAATATAAAAATGAAAAATAGAAATCCATAATTTTTATTAAATTCTCATGATAGTTTTCAAAATAATTGATGCATCCAAAGTGCAGCATTTGAAATTATTAAGTTAAAAATACGATAATTCATAGTTTTCAATACAAGTGATTATTTATTGGGTACAAGACTGTAGTCTCTATGGCCGATGGTGTGTGGCAAGTGGCCTTGTTTTACTTTAAAATTAGACTTTGAACTTGTCGCCTGATACTTTTCGCGGCCTATTTAAAAATTTCACATTATTAAATAAACAATTTAATAATTATTATTTGCGTTGACAAACATAAAATTGCCTGCCACATTTTAATTACTTCTCGAAGTAGATGGAAAGTTTAATAGTAAACCGTAAACCACAGAGATAAAGAATACAATTCTGCAGTATCTACCTTCTATTAGTGCACTGACTGAATATTACAATTTATGGTTTGGTGTTACTATTTAGCCAAAATGTCGTTAGGTATGCTAATTTATTCCTACATACAATAAGTATCCACTTTTGAATTAGTTATTTAAGTACGTCATGTTTTAAATGTATGTGACCTATTGAGTAGTTTCCTGCATGTTGAGATTTTGTTTTAGATTGGTTAACAATATTTTGCTGTAGACTACCTAGCTAACAAATTGGCAAAATGTATTACTTAAACAATATAAAAAAAGTGGATCTGATATCACTGAGTACCTAAAGGAGTATTGCCACATCTTTCACAGTTTTCTTTAGATATTAATTTTTCTGCATTTGCAGTTACATTCTAGCTTATTCAGCAATAAACTCAGTATTAAAACAGTAGTAGTACATTTTTAACTCGATTGTTAATGCTGATACTCTATAATTTTTTTGTGCATAAAACCTTTAGTGGGTCATCAGGGTTCCTACATAACAGTACTAATCACTAGACTCATTACTGATCGAGTTACTGATATACCTACATTTGTATCAAGAAGTTGGATACTCTAGCCACTTCTGTAAATTTTGGTAAAATCTTTTCCCACCAGGTATTGTTGTATGATTATCCAAAATCTTTTTTACATAATCTTTTAACATTTTTTGTATAATTTTGAATATTTTTTCGAAAGCATTATCGTTTAAAAAATAACGTCACAAACAGGGGGGTCAAGGTTAACTTAGCAGTTCGTTAAATCATTGCATTCGATACCATAGGTCTGATCAACTCATGCTTAGCTAGTGATATCAAAATGAATTACCTAGTTACTGACCAAATGCATACCTATTTTAAAAATTTAAAAACATAAAACAGTGTCTTTGTTTTATTAAAGTCTTTGCAGTTGGTTTTTGTTATCGAGTACATATTTCTTAGATAAATTATTTTTTTTAGTAAGTGACAAAAATGGCTCCTCATAGTTGTAAAGGCTGTCTGCATTACATTATTGCAAAAAGGAAGAAAATGTCTGAATTAGAAAACAAACCTCTTCCTATGGAAGTTGAACAAAATGGACTGCAAAATGGGAGCGATCCTCCATGTAAGTTTTTAAAATAATAATTAGGATTGAATACAAGGGTTGGTTTGGATTCATCGTCATCCTCTGTCGTTTCACAAAAGTATTTGGTCATAAAAGGTCGTCTTTCAGAAACAAATTATTAAATCTTCCTCCTTTCATATTCATAAAGTAAAGTAAAGTCAAGGTTTATTAACGGAATAACCATTTTAAAAAAGTACAAAAGGTATAGGTACAGGGTTATTGGTTATAAATGTCACCCCCTCTATCTTTTTTATTTGATATTTTAGAAAAAAGTGTCCCAAATAAAAGTTTTATGGTTGAAATAATTTTTTTTGAAAAACTCACTTTTGCATATACAGGGTGTTTCAGAAAAGCTGGTCATGCTCCAAATTTCTTATTTCAAATGGAATACCCTGTATATTATTGGATATTCAGATTCTACGTAAAGTTCTGAGCAGATTTCATATGGCATACCGCATACCTAAGTTTTTAATTTTAGAGCAAAACCGATCTTACATTTTTATCTTAGATATTTTTAGGGCCGATACTTTTGCTCTTGATTAACGAATTTGATACGTTGTCGTCAAAGTTTTGCATGGGCCAAGGTCTATACGTATGATGTGGTTAGAGCACATTCAAACCCCTGATTATTTTTAACGGCTGTCAAATGAGAGCAAAAGTACCGGCAATTAAACTATCAGTTGACACCAATATTTGACATCAACTTTGAATTTGATCCATGATTGAAAATTCAGATTAAATTTAATCTTCGATTAATTTCAAAGTTGGTGTCAAATGATAACTTGTGAAAATCTTAGAAAAAAATTTAAGATTGGTTTTGCTCAAAAGTTAACCGTTTAGGTTTTACAGCCTGTCAAATTTACAAAAAAGTCAATTTTCAACTGTCAATATTTCCAAAACAGTTGAACTTAGGTATAGAGTATATCACATGAAATCTGCTCAGAACTTGATGTAGAATCCGAATATTGAATAATATACAGGGTATTCAATTTAAAATAAGAAAGTTGGAGCACGACCAGCTATTTTGGAACACCCTGTATATGCAAAAGTGAGTTTTTCAAAAAATTTAATTTCAACCATAAATTTTTTATTTGGGACACTTTTTTCTAAAATGTCAAATAAAAAAGATAGAGGGGGGTGACATTTATAACCAATAACCCTGTACACAATGAATATAAACATAAATATAAATAAAAATATAAATATTTATCTAAAGAACTCTATGCTTAATCTGTGATCTGAATCTGCTTAAATTTAAGTTGAAAAAAATCTATTTCATTTGCAATATCATTAGCAATTCTACATAGTCTATTTGTAGGAATATTTTGGCCATAATTTGTTCTATGATATTCAACAAAAAATAGTTTATGGTGTCTTAGGTTGACCTGAGGAACAGTAAACGATATTTTTTGCAATAAAGTTGGTGAATCTATCAATCCATTTAAGATTTTGTATAAAAAAATTAGGTCTAGAAAGTCCCTTCTATCTCCCAATTTTGGTAAATGTAATAGTTTACTAATGTCATGGTAATCTATTGACTCCACAGGAATGCTAAGTTTGTAGCCTATATATAAATCTGAAAAATTTTCTTTGGACTTTCTCTAAACTATTAATATGAACATCATAGAAAGGAGACCAAATAGTTGAAGCATATTCCAAAACAGATCTAATAAGAGAGAAGTAGGTATAAATAATTCTTAAAACTATAGATGTTAGTAAAGTCTGAAACACTGCACTTAACAAAACCTAGCATTTTCAAAGCTTTATTTTTTACATATTCAATATGATCTCCAAAAGATAATGATATGTCCCTTATAACTCCTAGGTCCTTTATTTTATTAACACTTTCTAAATTGATATTATTGAAATTGTAGTTAAATTGAAATGGTTTTGATATTTTATAAAAGCGTATTATTTTGCATTTGTCAATATTTAAATCTAAACAATTTTGTGAAACATAATGATGAAATCTATCTAGATCTTGCTGTACTAAGACGCAGTGATTCAAACTTGATACTTTTAAAAAAAAATTATGTCATCACAGTAAAAAAGAACTTCACAGTTTTTAAAACATTGTAAAATATAAAATATCATTCAGAAAATAATTAAAGAAGATCGAAGATAAATGCCCCCCCCCCCCCTGTTGAACCCATGATGTAACATTAATTGTGTTAGAAAGACAGACAGTGTGCTTTCAATCAGTAAGAAAGCTTTTTATCCAAGAAAGATACCCAAGGCTGATAGTTTTTAAATTAAAATATTAATATTCACTCTGTCAAAAGCTTTGGAGAAGTTGGTGTTAATTACATCTACTGGACACTTCCTCTCCAAAGCTTCCAACAAGTAATTTGTAAAAATTGTCAGATTTGTAACCGTTGATCTTCCACTAACAAATCCATGCTGCTGTTCAATTATTGTTTTTGATAATAGAGGACTTATTTTTGATGCTATTATAGATTCAAAAGCTTTTGCGAAAATATTAATTTGACTTATTGGTCTATAGTTTTCCAATTTTGCCTTGTTGCCACTCTTGAAAATGGATTTGACACAGGATTCTTTCCATGTTTCATGTTGTTTAAACAGTATAATATGGTGAATTTACTTTAATACTCGCTTTAATAGATGTCTCACAGATGGACTAACTTAATTCCAAAACAAAATAAGCGAGAAAATAAGGTTGAGCTAATCTCATTAGGTGAGAAGAGTATCAATAGCCATCATCATTAACATAGGTTTTGATTCTAAATACCGAGCCCCAAATTCCATACAGTAAATTATTCTGAGATTTGAAGACGAAATCTTCAAAAAAGGACATCAGGAAAATTCAAAAACCAAAAAATTCACCCCGCATTACTTAACTCTATTTTATCTCAGGAACTATAAGTACAAATTAGCTGAAAGTCTAAAGAGTATAGCTTAGCTGATCGACGCCCATGCTCTTTGATTTGATTCGAGAAAAAGTTTGATACACATCCTCATCAATAATGTCCCTGAACCTGAACTCGTCACTATTGCTGTTGTCTCGGCACACGGCACACGGCACAGTACATTTTTCACCGACAGAAAATCGAAAAAAAAAAACGCGTAAAACAGTCAGAAACAAAGTGCGAGGTATTCGGAAATATCGTAAACATCATCGGCGGACTACAAACAGAAAAAAAATTTAGTGTAGATAGTGGCTTTGGCGGAAAAACAAGAAAATTTCAAAATAATTTTCTCGGTAACATAACCTCACATGATACATGCTGGCACAGGCATAATGAAAACAAGGCAACGTCGACTTGATCAGCCGATGGGATAAAGGAACGCAGCCAAAAGACGCGTTCGAAGACAAATAAAACAAATCAGCTATTTATGCGCAATATTCGATGATCAGCTGATGTAAATAAATAGGCCATGGATATTGGAAATTATAAATGCCACAGGAAACAAGAAATAAAAATTTATTGTTGCATAAATTGCTTTGTGATAGTACATAAATCTTGCTGGGAAAGACAGTAACTGGACTCATGTAGATAAACACAAAATCTACTGCTCGTTAAACTGTAAACTGGAAGGCGAAGAAAGATTAACAGGAATAAAACACTTAGAAAATCTAAAAAGCCTTTGTAATGAACTCGAAACGGAGGTGAAACAGAAAGATGAATTCATAAAGAAACAAGAACAAAAGTGGGAAAATTTTAAATCTGAAGCTATTGCTATGGAACAGAGCTTAAACTGCAGAATAGAAAACTACAAAAATCAAGTTCTATTACTTCGGCAGGACTTGGATAAGACAAAGAAAGAGCTTTCCACATTAGGCAAGCAAAAAATCAACTATGTTGAACGATCATGCCAAACAACTAGCACAGAGTACAAAAACATTATGATGCAAACCGATCCTTATCCAAAAGAAACAGTATCGACACAATTTTCATCAACACAATCATGTCCCCAGCAAACATGCGACACACAAACAGAGCTAGATGACGACATCGCGGAAGAAATGCTCCTGACAATGGCCCTTCTAAAAATACAAGTTGCAAAATCAACCCAGACTGAGACCCAAACCCAGACTGATCCCGGGAAAGTAAGTCCCAAAGAACCACAAGCACAAAATACCGAGAAAATCTCTACTCGCAAGGGGAAACCCCACCTACTATTGATTTCAAATACTTTTCTGAAGGGAAGCATAAATTGGAGTAAGAAATTTACAGATGAAAATTTTGATATAAACAACCAATATCTGAAAAACTGTACATTCAATGATGTGATGCAGGACGCCTTGCGCTGGACAAAAAAACTTAACTCAAATGACAAAATAATATTGTTCTGTGGCCCGCAATATGCTTTAAAAAATCGTAATATTGACCTCAACCTGCTCCAGCAAGTGGTAAACAACACTTTACATACACATCTTATAATAGTGGGCTGTCCTTTAAGCAAAAATAGGCCAGTTCTAAATCAGTTTATAGTAAATCACAATGCTATAATAGAGAAAGCATTGGAAGCCACTCAGGCAAATTTCATTGATGCTGCCAAAATTGTATTTCCACAGTACGTAATGTCATATGACATATGTTGGAATGCAAACAGTCGAAGACAACTTTTCCTGCACCTCAGCGAGGAGTATATTTTTCAAAAAACCAAACAGACGGATGAATCTCTCAACGAAGAGCTCAGCTATGTTAACCCATTAGTGCATAGCGTTCGTTTAATCGAAGGCGCCATTTTTGGCCGGAAAAAAAGACGCCTGTGTTAACTGGCGACTCGTCATGGCTTAGAAGTGTCATGTGAGTGTGAACAGAGTGTTTGGAGCATTTGAGCCGATCCCGAACTAATTAGATTGAGTTATTTAGATTTTTGATTGTTATGGATCCGAGTTTATACAATTCTCGACGAGGCGGGTAAGTGTTTAAATTTTTTTTTTTTTTATTGTTGATAATATATCAACAATATTTGTGTCAAGCATGCATAAGATCATATATTTACTGTTTCCAATATTATAAATATCTTAGTTA